ATAGAGATAGATAGGAAGGGTTTTGCTTGAAATAGAAAGAACGGAAGGATATCAGATGGCCACGCTAAAATAAAGGGGTAAGGAAGTTTGGGAAATGGATTCATAAGATAAGGAGCATGCAGTATGGAACAAAGGTAGAAGGTGCTCCTGTATCAAAGCAAATTTATATTTTATAGAACTTGAATTCTCATTAAATATCTATGACAAAGAATCCAGATTTATAAGAATCAAACAAAATTAAATTCCAAATTAATATCTTTACTTCAATAGTTTGATTCTTAATCTCAACTCATTATAAGTAAATTCAAAGCAACCTCTTATAGATAAATAAGATGAGTCCCTCATCTTTTTGGAAGCAGAATACATAGACATAAATGGTTTGTTCATTACCAGAAGTTTTGGGATTAAAGATATCGTAATTTAAAAAGGATCGACATTCAAACTAAATGAAGGTAGAATCATATAGGATGAGTCTTATCAAATTAAAGGACTTCATCAATATTTTGATTGTGTTTAAAAAGAAATTTCAGGAAAGTATTATTTTACTTCACTATACCTCTATGATATTCAAAACATAACGCTATATTCCTTACTAATCGAATCAGTTTCAATAATAAATTATCCAATAATAAATATTCTTTCCTCTATTGAGATGATTACCAAGTCAGAAGAAATTTCAGTTTCAAAATTATATTTTAAAAGCAACCTCATATTGATAACAGATTCATTAAAGTAGGCATCCATCTTCTAAATAACGTCCCAATCAGAATATAAAATATCTATATCTGACTCATCAATGGACAAGAATCTTATGCACTACTATCAACAAAATGATCTCATAAGCTCTGCATTACTTTTTAACTTCGATTGTTCCTATTGTACTTTGAATTTTTAAAATTTAACAATCGTATCTAATTTAGTTACAAACTCAACTTAAAGTATCATTTACATAAAATCAAATACAATAATCATGACAAATATTGTGTTCAAATATAATTGTATTTCCAATTATAGCATTTTGCAACCCCACATATTATGGGGATTTAAAAGTGACCAAGAGATATTTTTAGAGAACATTATACAAATCTTTCCTGTCAAGGTATAAACGGGAAATGCTAAATTGGCTGGTTAAAACATTGAACTAACTAACATAAGTATTTCAAACTCTGTTGGTTCTGGGTTATATATTTCTCTTGAGAATATAGCTAAATGTTTAATGACGAATATAGTATTCTCGTCAATTAAATCTTTGTTCTTAGAAAAAAATGAAAACGGAGGAGCTATTGTATTTGATACTACTCGAATTGTTGAGGCCATAATAGAATTGTAAAATATAAGGTTGAATAATATTTTATGTCGATAAAAGGGCGGCTTTGTTTATTTAATTAACGGGTAAGGTAAGTCTTAGATACTTATGTCGAACTTAAAAATCGAAGATGTATATGCACTTTAGGGTTCAATAATTTTTACTGAATTTTCATCCTAATCTACGACATCTAAAATAATAAGTCTAGAAAATGTTTAAATAAAAAATTCTCAATTAGGTTAAATGAATTTCTTGAGTCATTTTAGCGATTTAGAAGACACAGAAGAATTGTAACAATTAATTTACTAAAGATATATGTTTTTCATTTACCAATGCTTTCACCATCATATTTTAGAATATTTTAACTACAGATATTTAAGTATGAATTAATTCCTTTTAGGGTTT